GATGAAATTATACCATGCTAATAGTAATCAAAAGAAAGCTAGAGTAGATATATCAATATCAGATAAAGCAGAATTCCTATCAAAAATACTACTGAGGAAAAAAAAGGATTAATCATAATAAAGGAGTTAATTGTTCAAGAGAACATAATCCTTAATGTTTATAACTTTAATAACAAAGTACCAGAATACATGAAAGAAAAACACATAAGTAAACAAAGAATATAATATGGAATCATAAGAATGCTCAATTGATCCAAAAAAGGCAGAAAACAAGGAAAATGAAGAACAGATTACACAAACAGAAAATGAATAGCAAGATGAGAGGCTCAAACCTACCCACAATCATCACATTAAATGTAAATGGTAATTACTTAATAAAATGCAGAGATTTTTAGATTGGATTAAAAATGCTTGACCCATATATGCTGCCTATAAGAAACACACTTTAAAAATGAAGGCAGACTGGGTATGGTGGCTTGCACCTGTAATCCCAACACTTTGGGAGGCCAAGGCAGGGGGACTGCTTGAGGCCAGTAGTTCAAGACCAGCCTGGGCAACGTAGGGAGACTAATTTCTATTAAAAAAAAAAAAAGAAGGCACAAATAAGTTAAATTAAAAGGATCAAAAAATACCACCTTAATACTAATCAAAAGAAAGATGGAGGGACTATAATAATATCAGACAAAGTGGATTTTGGAACAAAGGATATTACTAGGGATAAACAAGGTCATTTCATAATAATAAACAGGTCAATTAATCCTAAATATTTATGCCTGTACTAACAGAGCTTCAAAATATATGAGGCAAAAACAGAACTCCAAGGAAAAATACCTGTTTTTTTCCAATAATTGATAGGAAAAGTAGGCAGAAAATCAGCAAGGATACAGAAGCGAACAGAACAATCAATCAGCTCAACATTTATAGAACACTCTGTCCAACAACAGCAGAGTATACATTTTTCTCAAGCACACACAGAACATTCACCAAAATTGACCATATTCTGGGCCATAAAATAAGTCTCAATATGTTCCAAAGGATTCAAGTCATACAATGTATATTCTCTGACCATGACAATATTAAATTGGAAACCAATAACAAAAAGATATTTGGAAAAAATCACCAAATATTTGGAAACCAAATAACACACTTCTAAATAACCCATGAGTCAGAGGAAATCAATAGAAAAATTAGAATGCATTTTATTAGAATGTACTTTGAATTAAAATAAAATGAAAACACAACATTATGAAAATTTGTGGGATATTGTTGTTAAAGGAGTACTTAGGGGACATTTATAGCACTAAATGCTTATATTAGAAAAGATTTTTATAGTATTCATAGATGATATTTTATATTTCCATGGTATGAGTTGTGATTTTTCCTTTTTCATTTCTGATTGAGCTTATTAGAGTCCTTTCTTTTCTGCTGCTGGTTAATCTAGCTTGAGGCCTGTCAATTTTGCTTATCTTTTCAAAGAATTACATTTTGTTTAATTAATCTTCTGTATAATTCTTTTGTTATCGATTTCATTTAGCTCTGCTCTGATCTTGGTTATTTCTTCTCTTCTGCTGGGTTTGGGATTGGTTTTCTCTTCCTTTTCCAGTTCCTTCAGATGTTTCATTAAATTGTTGATTTGTGATCTTTCTGTCTTTTGATGTAGGCATTTAGGGCTATGAATTTTTTTCTCAGGACTGCTTTAGTTGTATCCCACAGATTTTGATAACTTGTGTCCCCTTTATCATTTAGTTCAAAGAATCTTTTGATTTCCATCTTAATTTCTTCCTTGACCCAGCTATCATTCAGCAGTAGGTTGTTTAGTTTCCATGACTTTGTATGTAGATGAGTGTTTCTGTTGGAGTTGATTTCTAATTTTATTCTACTGTGGTCTGAGAAGATACATGGTATAATTTCTACTTTTTAAAAATTTGTTGAGACATGTTTTGTGGCTTAGGATATGATCAATCTTAGAGAGTGTTCCATGAACTGATGAGAAGAAGTATATGCAGTGGTTTGGGGTAGAATGTTCTATAGATGTCTGTTAGGCCCATTTGTTCTAGAGTTCTGTTTAAGTCCATTGTTTGTGTATTTTCTGTTTGGAGGATCTGTTCCATTTTGTCAATGGGGCGTTGAAGTCCATGGCTATTACAGTGCTGCTGTTTATCATTTTGTTTAGATTAAGTAGGATTTGCTTTATGTATCTGGGTGCACCTGAGTTAGGTACATAAATATTTAGCATTGTTATGTCTTCTTGTTGAATGGTTCCCTTTATCATTATATATAATGACCATCTTTGTGTTTCTTTTGTTGATTTGAACTCTATGTTATCTGATATGAGAATGGACACACCAGCTTTCTTTTGGTTTCCATTTGCATGAAATATTGTTTTCCATCCCTTCACCTTGAGTCTGAATGACTTCTTGTGGGTTAGATGTGTTTATTGGATACAGCAGAAACTTGGATTGTATTTTTTTATCCATTCAGCCAACCTATGCCTCTTGAGTGGGGAGTTCAAGCCATTCAAATTTATTGAAAGAATTGATAAGTGGGGTGGATTTCTGTTCATTGTGTTGAGTACAACTTTATTGCTGTTTTACCTCTTGATCCATTGTGGTATCTGGGCTCTGACCTTTATCTTTTGGGTGATTGTACACTGGTGGGTGTCTATGGTGTTGATCCATGTATAATGCGGTTTGAGTACTTCTTGCAGGGCAGGTCTGGTCTTTACAAATTCCCTCAGTGTTTGCTTGTCTGAGGTCTTTATTTCTCTCTCATATAAGAAACTTAGTTTTGCAGGATACAAAATTCTAGGCTGGCCATTATTGTGTTTGAGAAGACTGAGAATGGGGCTTCAATTCCTTCTGCATTGTAAGGTCTCAGTTGAGAAGTCTGCAGTTAGTCTGACAGGTTTTTCTTTGTAAGTAACCTGATTTTTTCACTTTCCTGCCTCTTTTCGTGTTTATTTTGGCAAGTCTAATGACTATGTGTCATGGTGATTGCCTCTTTGCGATGAATTTTCCAGGAGTCCTTTGAGCTTCTTGTAGCTAGATATCTATGTTTCTAGCAAGGCTAGGGAAATCTTCCTTAATTATTCCTTCAAATAGATTTTTTTCAACCCTTGTGTATTTTCTTCTTCTCTCTCAGGGATGCTTACGATTCTTATGTCTAGCCTCTTTACATAATCCCGCATTTCTTGTAGGCTTTGTCCGTTCCTCTTATTTCTCTGTTCTTTCTCTTTAACTGACTTGTTTAGCTCAAAGGTATTATCTTCAAGCTCAGAGATTCTTTCTTCTGTCTGATCTAGCCTATTCTTAAGGCTTTCCACTATGTTTTGTAAATCCTTGAATGAGTATTTCATTTCCAGAAGTTCTGTTTGGTTTTTCTTTAATAATTTAGTTTCTTTAGAGAATTTTTCATTCACTTCCTGTGTACTGTTCGTATGACTTCTTTGTGTTGGGTTTCTATTTTCTCTTGTATTTCACTGAGCTTCCTTACAATCCATATTCAAAATTCTTCATCTGTCATTCTAATTTTTTTTTTAGGTTGGTATCCATTGGTAAGGAGTTATTGTTTTCTTTCGGGGGTGTCCTTTCACTTTGATATTTCATACTTCTGGAGTTCTTTTGGTTGGCTTCTTCTCATCAGGCCTCTTGCTCGAGAGCTGAGAGTGCTAGGGCTGCCTTAGGGACTTGTGTCCAAGTCTGCAAAGATCGGTCCCTGAATGTGCCAGGGAGAGCAGTGCTGGTCCTGAGTTGCCTTTGGTGTGCTTTAGCAGGTTTGATGAACCTCTCAGGTTACCTGGCTGCAGTGGCTCTGTTCTCAGTGGTGGCTCCACCAGAAACATCCCCCACCACAGAGAAAGAGGCTACTTAGCACTCTCGCGGTTGCTATAGGGAGGAAGGGGCCGTGGTCTCCCTGCACCGCTCTCGTGACCTGGGGGCACCGGGTCCTGCCGGCTTGTCCAAGCTGCCAGCAGGCGATTCCCTGAAACAGCTGCTGCGTCGGCTCCTCCCTCAATGGTTGGCTTGGCTGGGAAACGCCCCTGCTGCAAAGCAATAGGCTTGTCAGCACAGAGCACTCTCCCGGTTGCTATGGGAGGGGAGGGGGCTGCAGTTTCCCTGTACCACTCTCATGTCCTGGGAGCACTGGGTCCTGCCTGCCTATCCAAGCCGGCAGTGGGCAACTCAGTTTCTTCCTTAAGAAACTAAAAGAATAAGAGCAAAATAAATCCAAAGTAAGAAAAAGTAAAGAAATAATAAAAATCAGAGTGGAAATTACTGAACTGGGGGTTTGGGGGGCAGTTTTTTATTGTGTTAAAATATACATAAAATTTACCATTTTAACCATTTGTAAGAATGAGTTGGTTCTTTCATAAACTGGACTGATTAGGAAAAAGAAAAAAACAAAATATCAATAATAACAGGAATGAGATACATGACATCACTACGGATTTTAAAGATATTAGAAGGATAAGGGATTATGATGAAGAACTTTATGCCCATAAATTTGACAACTTAGATGAAACGGACAAGTTCTCTGAAACACACTAACTACCAAAGCTTACTCAAGAAGAAACATAAAACCTTGAACAACCGTATATCTATTGCTAAATTAAATTTTAGTTAACACCCCTCTCCCCCAAAAGCAAAAATAAATAAGCAAACAAAAATCTCTCCAGGCCCAAATGGCTTTACTGGTGAAGTCTATCAAACTTTTAAAGAAGAAACACAAAGTCTTCCAGACAACTGAAAAGGACAGACCACTTCCCAACTCGTGCTGAGGCCAGTATTACCTTGATACTGAAACCAGACAAAGACACCACAAAAAACTACAGACTAATATCCCTCAAGAACACGGATGCAAAAAAAATTTTTTTTTGGTTAAAAAAAGTCCACAAATTTAATGTACATAAACCTCATACACACAAGCAACAACAGCAAAGTCCAACTTTCCCAAAATAGCCCCGCCCTTTAAAAAAAATTCCACCTTAGGTTGGGTTGAGAGCTGTCTCCTTATAATTTGAAAATTTCAACCCACATGTTCCAACATGGCCTTTCAGAACAACAGAGATCAAGTTTGTTCCCTCTTCCACATGACAGCCTTTTACATATTTGAAGACAGCTTCCTTGTTTTCTCTGAATTGTCTTTTCTTTCTTTTCTTTTTCTTTTTTTTTTGAGACAGAGTCTCGCTCTGTTGCCCGGGCTAGAGTGCCGTGGAGTCAGTCTACCTCACAGCAACCTCAAGCTCCTGGGCTCAAGTGATCCTCCTGCCTCAGCCTCCTCAGTAGTTGGTACTACAGGCATGCGCCACCACGCCCGGCTAATTTTTTTCTATTTTTACTTGTCTGGCTAATTGAGATGGGGTCTCACTCTTGCTGAGGCTGGTCTGGAACTTCTGAGCTCAAGCGATCCTCCCGCCTCAGCCTCCCAGAGTGCTAGGATTACAGGCGTGAGCCACCACGACTGGCCTGAATTGTCTTTTCTTAAGATTAATCAAAGGTTCCTTAAAACTTCCTTCCTCCATGAAAGACTAATAAGAGGGTACTTCCTCCAGAGGGTTTTAGTGTCAAAGATAAGCATAGCCTGGTTCATTTCTAGTTTAAAAAATGCAGAATGTGTAATGACAAAATAACGCTTGGCATACTTTCTCTTTGCAAGGCAGGCTTTAGGACGATGATAAGATGCAAAAAT